TTTTTTTTTTTTTTTTTTTTTTTTTTTTTTTTTTGTATTCCCCGCTGTCCTCCTTTCAATTTATTCTTCTCTACTGCACTAATTACAGGCTCAAAAAAATTTTTCTTAACTTAACATTTGAATAAGGAACAAATGTGGATAGGGATTGAGGAGTAGCGCTCAAATGCTACATTATATTTACAGTGCAAAATTTTTTTTTTACAGATGTGACAAGTTTTATGTTTTTTTGTTTTTTTTCTTTTGTTTGCAAGCAGTACAACCACATCAACACATCTGTAGATGATGTTGCAAGATTTATATTTGTTGAAGAAATGTTACGGTTTTTAGAAGCTAAAAGTTTCAGCAAGAAAATAAATAAATAAATGAATAGTGTCAGAAGAAAAACAGGGGTTGTACAGTGGGTGACGAAGCTGCATGAAAAAAGATGAATCATAAAGGATGAGGAAGAGAAGAATTCAGAGATCCGATATTGCAATTGGCAACCGAGTTATATTTAGTTACATATCACTGACTTTATTGTTGCTTTTTCTTTTCTACAATTTCAGTTCAAAAACAGGAACTGAATAACAGAACAAACAGATAGTTCATTTTTCATTACATTATTTTTTGTTGGTAATAAGTGATAACCTGAAAGATGTAAAAATTTTATAGCTATTCAAAGCTAGTTCCTTCATATTATTGCTGTTATTCTTTGTTGTAGTTGTTGTTGCTTTGTATTCTGCTGTTAAAACAGAAAACAAAAAAAAAAGCTTATCAATTGTTGTAACGAAAAAAAAAGCTGTAAAAATTGTAAAACTTTGAGAAATCAGTGGAAGAAGGGCGGAGAAGAGGTGAGGAGGATGAAAACCGTTGATGGGAAAAGAAACAATCAGAAAACATTATTTTGTTTCTGTACTATTGTCAAGTAAATCTGCTAGCATTTCTATTTTTCTCCTCTTCTTATCTTCTTCATTCTTCTTTGTTTCCTTCTGAAAAACAATTTTTTTCTCCTATATTTTTATATTTTTGCACACCTTTCAAATGTTCAATGTCTAGTGAAGAAAAAAAAATAGTATTTTCTTTATCTGCACAATCTAAAGATTAATTCGCTGACTTTTACCTGTATTTACCTGGCTGCTTTTTTTTTTTCGGCTTCTTTTCATTATTTTTACTCCTCATTTGCTCCCAAATTACCTCATTGTTGTCCTAATTTTCTGATGTGGTTGAAAAAAAGAATTTTTCTTTCCTCTTTACATATTACATTGCTTTAACTGAACTGCATCGACTGCTGTAAGGTTTTATCACAATTTTTGATTACTACTGTGTAAATTGTTGACTAAAAATTTTGTTGCAAATAGTGACTGTTGATTGACTGCTGAGTAGCGGAAATCGACTCGTTTGGAGAGGGGGAGGAGGAAAATTTAGTTGAAATAGATGACTGGCTAAAATAGCACCGAAATAACGCCAACCACCTAAAATAACTCGGAATCGATTGCGGCAAATGACACACTGAATGCGTGTGTGTGTTTGCGTGTGCAAATATTTTTGCTCATTATTAGT